ACCTTAGTTTAATAAATATAAAAAGGTTAAATGAGGCATTTCTCTCTCTCTCTATCTCTCTCTCTTGGATTTCTTTCTTTTTTGGCTGCAAAGCCGTTTCTCTCTTTGGAGATTCAGTTGGCAGAAGTTTCTATGTTTGGTTATTGTCAGTAGAACTAATGCAAAAAGCCTTTGCAGCACGCTGAAAATAGCATATTTTCTATGTATGTAGCCTTTTCTGATACCATGTGAAATTGCCGAAATTTTAGCTGTCCTATTGTTGCTTGATACTCAGGATATCAATCCCTGCCTAGGTTAATTTGAAGCCAATGAGGAACTGCGCTTTACAACCTAATAGAATGAATAATATATCTGGCTCCATGGTAGATCTTCTCATTGTAGTTCAGTTGTTATCCAACCAGATATGGGGTATGTAAACTGTTGAAGACAAAGCCATACTATGATACCTCCTGTCATCTACAAATGTTAAAACGTTCACCAAAAAAAAAGTTTATTAAGAACTCAAGCCCCTTTGACAAGTATTTTGGACAAAAAGCCGCGACTGTAAACTCCTTGGAGGTCTTTAACTGAGGCTTCCTCAATTTTCTGTAAATTGTTCATTTCCTCTTAAGTTCGTATCAAGGTTTGAATTATCAATTTGCCTAAACTGTCTCATATTTTGGTGTGAATCACCAATGCCTAATAATCTTCGAATTGATCGACTATTTAGTTAACCTTTTGTCTGAACCTGTACTTATCAATAGATGAAAAGTAAAAGATATTCTCATGTAATGACTGCATTGTTTTGTATTATAAGATTTTCCATTGGTATGGAGGCGTATGACGCAAGATCATAAAATTCTATGAATTGGCATGTAATGAGTTACCGCCTATGTTTGATAGCATGTCCGTATAATAGTCAATTACCACATTGCGCAAAAATTGGATTTTAGAAGAAATTGTTAGTGAGGTATTATAACCCTATGCTTCATATAGAACACAAGAAGTTAATATTAATCTTCTAGTTAATTGACTTTCAAAGTCAATGACCCTTGAACCCAAAATCACTTCTTTTGCTTTGGTTGTACTCAGGGTTTCGATGAGATCGACAGTGGATAGTTGTAAACTCCAAAGGCAGAGCATGTACTCAAAGAGTAGAGCCATCGCTTGCACTAGTTGAGGTTGAACTTCCAAAGGAGGCATTATTAGAGGGCTGGGAACCCAATCCAAGCTCATTTTTAGGTTAGCGAGAGAATAAAATTTGTGATCCTTGTTTTCTCTTAATCTTCATCATTTCGTTTGAGGCATTTTGTAAACTCCAGAAGTAAGGCAATTATAATCGCAATAATGTGAAACTCCACTAGTATCAGTAGCTCAGCTTTTCTTGACAGTGATAAAGGCCCCTGGTATGGATGTGCTTAAAGTCCCACTAGTTGAGCCATCTGAAGTAGCAAATGGTGTCTCAGTGTGGGAGTGGTCTGGCTCAGCTTTGGATGAAGGTGATGAAGCATCAAAATGGTTCTCCAAATATCTAGGGAAACCTAATCGTCTCGTACGTTTCAATGAAGGTATACTTCTATGTCTGTCTATATTAGTGTAGGTTGATCTCTTCTAAAGGACTATTTCTCTTGCAAATAAATGACCTGTATGGTCTGTCTCTGTATCTTATGTTTCGTTTTCAAGATGCCTGTGGCGCTGTAACCAGAAAGTTAATGTGAATAACTGAATGAGTAATTAACAAAATATAAAGAACCTTTTCTGCCAACTTGGTCATGCTACTGCGTTTCATTGCTAAATTTGTTGATGAAGAATAGCTAGTTTTAACGAGTTAATCTGCTTCACAAAAATCTAGCATCGTGTACTTTTGCTGCATCAAGTTGGATAGTTTGACTTATTAGTGAAAGATAGAAAAAACAAAAGATCAGTGTAATAAATTTAACAATGTCCATTTGTTTAAACACTGGACATCAGTACTTGCTTTTCAAGTTGTATCTTTTATCTTTCTCTTCTGATGCTTCTACTCAACGCGGCTGCAACTACCTCTAATTCCTTCCTCCCGGCTATAGAGAGGGAAATCTCACAGCATGTTTAATACCAGAAATTCCAAAAGTCTTTTTTTTCTTTCTTAAACCTACATCTAGTCAAACTACGCCACATATATTTTTGAAACGGAGGGTATGTATTTAAAGATGTGTGCATCTGAAAGCGTGCTCAGCCATAGTCATTTCACTCTTTTTTTTTTGTTGCTCATGCAGTATCAGAATCTAGACCTACCGACCCTAATTATGCTCCTGGGTACAAAATTAAATTTAATGATGCGTATCCCTTCCTCCTTATATCCCAGGTTAGACAAGTTACCATTAACTTATTATTTTTTTTAAAGATGAAATCTTATCTATCAATTTGGGTTTATTTTCTAATCCTGTTTCCTTTATCTTTGGCAGAAATCACTGGATACATTAAATGAACAACTGAAGGAGCCTGTGTCAATTAACCGCTTTAGACCAAAGTATCTTCTCGCTCTTACTCAACCTTTTAATGGAAGTAATTAAATTCTTAATTCTTTCTTCCAATTCAGTGATTATTATCGAAGGAGCTTCTGTTTGGAAGTAATAAAGAGGTCAATCCAGTAGCTTAATTCTTTCATCTTTATTTATGACATTGAAGCCCTGAAATATGACCCTATTTCTTTAGAGTTGTTGAGCCAGCATCATTAAGAACTTAATTGTTGCCTCAACGTGGTCCTCTACATGGTCTACTTGTTAAGCTAATGATAGTGGCTTCTTTGGAATAAATGCTCCATGAACGAATCTTTACGAAAATCCCCTAAACCATCACTCATTTCTTTTGTTGTCAACATAAATGGTATTCTGTTTTCGCATTAATTCGTAACCTCTTAGCTGTTGGAAACATGCATACAGCATCCTCGTTGATGGATCTGAGCCATATTGTGAAGATTTATGGAAGGATATCAAGATAGGCGAAAGTACATTCCGTAGCACGGAGTTATGTTATCGCTGCAAGGTAAATGGTATGCTTTCTCTAAGTCTTGATAATTACCATTACCAGTAGCGGATCTAGAATTTCAAAATCATCGGTGCTCGGCATTTTTAATCTGGAAATTGGTACTGAGACTGGTGCTCAGTTAATATATTTGTATGAATTACTAGTTTTTCTATATAAATGATATTTGGATCCAAAAGTAATGGGTTCTCGAACACCCATACCTCAAAACCTAGGTCCGCCATCGGCGTTACTTTGGGGGGATTTTCTATTGTAAAAGATTGAAGGAATGTCATCTAGCATGTTTATGTCTGAGTGTTTGCATACTCACACACACACAGACAACACACTTAACATATGCATGCGAATAAGCAAAAACATGCAGAACATTTTTCGGATGATATTCCAATTACAACAAAGAAACACAGTGGAGGAAAAAGCGGCTGCAAACTTATAACTGTGTCAAAAGTAATGCTTTGTTGTCTACGTTGAAATTCTCAGTGATGAACTCTAGGCTTTGTGTCGGAAGCAGGAAATTCCACTTTGTTCGCCCCTATTGTAATTTTTTTTATGTTTATGAAACTCTTGGTTCTTATGAAGCTCCAATGATACTAAACGTGCCTTTGGAAAAAATATCCTAAATCATGTATATAAACACTCATCTTCTTCGTTAACTTTTCACATACGGCCTTCAGGTTCCCACAATCAATCAAGAAACTGCAGAAGCAGGTTCCGAGCCAAGTGAAACACTCATGAAGTTTCGTTCAGATAAAATCTTAAAAACAAATAAGAAACCACAAGGACGAGTAAGCAAATTAAATTAGTTCTTGTGTTCATCATTCTCTTGACGACAATTTAATTGCTTAAATTTCATTGAATGCAGATTTACTTTGGTCAGAATTTTGTGTGCATAGATTCCCTTGATCAAGAGAAGAGAAAGACCATCAAAGTGGGAGATCCTGTTTACGTCATCAAGATGGTCTCATCCTATGTTGATGTGTCTGTTTGAGACTACTATATCATTCACGTCATAATCGTAGTTATTGGCTTTGTGGACACTTTGAGAATAGACTAAGCTTGATATAATAACAAGCACTTGAACAAGAGAGTAAAAGAGTAGTTGGAAACTATACAAGAGAAAGATGTGTGAATTCTTTATATTGATGATTGTTACAAATAATGAGATAAAGAAATGTATGCGAATGTTATAACTACGATAAATAATTGTATGCTTGCATTTAGTGTGATAGATCTTTCCGTTACTTCTATGTGGTGCGTCTTTTGAGTAAGTTGTGGACTCTTGGACTTCTTGTTCACGGTGTATGTATTGGGGTGAACTTGACTCCTTAATTTCTTCATATCATTAATTTCCCGAGAAGGGGACCTTGGCGTAACTGGTAAATTTGTTGCCATGTAATCAGGAGGTCACGGGTTCGAGCCATGGAAACAACTTCTTGCAAAAATGCAAGGCTGCGTACAATAGACCCTTGTGGTCCGGTCCTTCCCTGAACCCCGCGCATAGTGGGATCTTAATGCATCGGGTTGCCCTTTTATATTAATTTCCCGAATTCCAACATAATTTTCTAATGTTCCAACTGTCCTTCTCAAGTTCGTGTATATACTCAAGTTGGTGTATATAAATCGTATGTACCAAGCTTGTCACAAATGCATGGACTTCGAGGTCCTCTAAGAGCTTGGTAGAGATGGCTGCTAGTTTACTTAGACTATGTTATAATACCTTGAAAAGAGCTATTTTCCCGACAAAGTAGCAGTTTATTTCTATGTTCTTAGTGATTTCATGAAAGATTGTATTAGAAGCTATGTGCATTGTCCCTTAGTTATCACAATATTACTTCATTTCTTTGATGTCTGTAAACTTGAATTATCAATGTAATTAATTTGTTTCTCCTGTGTGAGCTCAGAAGCAGCTATTGCCCTTGCTCTATGTTCCACTTTTGCACTAGAAGGAAACAACGGGGTAACTATTACTGCGACACAAGGCTTAAATTAGCAAGAGATAAGTAACTGAGCTTCTAAATTAGTTAGTCTCAAATAAATATAAACCAGTAGATGGCATTACATTGCCTGCGTTTCCTTTGATTACAGCAACTTCCTAGGCTAGTTTTTGACCTCTACATTTCACTATTTTCCTGTGAAACTGAGTTTCCAGTTGGTGTGCTACAACCCAATGGACTCCTCTGCGTCACGGATGGCTTCCAGAAACACCCACACGGTCTGCAAATTATCATTGCATTAAAAGAAAAATAATGCGCAAACAGGAGTTCTGTAAGCAACAAAAGAAAAAAAGAATTTCATTTCTTAAAGCAATGAAAGAGTATTTACCATAGCACCAGGAGCATTACGAACAGATTGGTTTCCGAGACGTGAGTAGAAATTAGAGCCTCCACCTGGCTTAAGAACTTTTAAGGCATAGAATAGAAAACTATGTGGGGATTTAATTCTTTTGGCTCGAATAAAGCCAATAATTCCAGCTGCATAACCAACTGATATAGTGCAGGCGCCAGAACACATCCCTGAGAATATTCCTGCACCTGAAGCACAACAGAGGATACATTTTAAGTTTTTTTCACTTAAAAAAAATGATCAAGGAAAAACATTTGAAAGCACATTTTTGCTGTGACAAATAATATGTAACCACATAAGCGACGGATCAATAATAATGAGGACAATAATAACAGAAACCAGACAACAACAACAACAAATCCAGTGAAATCCCAGGGAGGGTAGTGTGTACGCAGACCTTACCCCTACCTTATGAAGGTAAAGACGTTGTTTCCGAAAGGCCCTCGGAAATAACAGAAACCAGACGGATGCTAAAAAGTAATTACCTAAACGTGCAGCATTTTCCCTTAGACCATATCTTTCTTTCAAATAAATCCGAGTCCGATCATATGATACTAGCATTCCCGTGCATGATGCTAGTGATACTAGATTAACACGCGAGGCTCCTTTCCATAATGCTAAAAGCCCTTCATTTCTTACCACCTGTGTGATTGTACTGAAAATATGTCCGAAGCGATTATATTTAAGGTTTACTGCTTGAGCAATGGCAGCAGCAACATGTCCTTCTATCAGAGGATAACAAATATAAGCACGAAATGTTCCAGAGATAAGCCCACAAGCAGCCTCCTGATAGATGGTCAAAGGGCTCCCTTTATTCAAGGCTTCCACTTTTCTTGTCAAAATCCTAGAAGAAAGGGGCAAAATCATTCATCTAAGTACTTTCTAAGCATCATCAAATTAGCTTGTCAACAAAAAAAAAAAAAAATTATGCAAATGAATTTATAAGCTCAACCAGGTTAAATATCAAAAGCATGTCCCAAATCACCTATGTCGTCTCACCCTCCTCCTGGTTAATGATAATGAAACAACTTACCTTTCAGGGGATGAGTCAAAAAAATGTGATCTCTGTAGTTGCTCAGAACTGAGTAAACATCAATTATGATGGCCTGAGTAAAGATGCTATGCCTTTGAAAAACACAAGTATGGATCCTTAAAAGTAAACTCCGTATAAACATCTGTAAAAACTTTTTTTCTCCTCTGTGATCAATAGTGTATTTTTCCCACATTTCTCCTTAGTAAGAAGTTCTAACCTGTTAGCTGGATACAGAGTACTCTACTACTTCTAACAAGGGTTGCATGAGCAGAATTATGTGATGTTAAAACAGGTTTTACTTCATGCTACTGTGTCTATGGTGATCACTAGGTGACCTGAGACTCCCTTCTTCTACTTTTGAATTGACTTCAATATTAAAGAAAAAACAGAAATATGCCAAGATAACTTTCCGGGATTGAAGGTTCTGAAGCATAGGGCAGCCTGTAGAACTATGAATTCTCCACTAATTGAGGTGCAGTTTCACTTTCTTCCCCTTCTATTCAATCATCTGCCGTTGGTGAGAAAGAACTGCTGAAAATTGTCTTTTTAGTGAAACAGTTTAAGGTGGTTGTTGAATTGCCTGGGGGTATCTTCAGTTGCAGATATCAGGAAATTTGTCTATTCTTTAATGTCAAAAGATTCCATTGTTCAATTACCACATGTTATTTTTTTTTTTGATGAAGTAAGGTATTTCATTAGAAAGGCATCAAGTAGATGCAATAGTTACAAAATCAGAAGACAAAAATACAGAAAAATAAGAGTTTGTAAGCCCCTTTAGGATGTGCTAAACTATAACTAAGGAGCTNATATATATATATATGGTAGTATAGTATACTATACTATATATAGAATGTTATGTATATATATATATATATATATAGTATTAAAAATCTGACCGTTGAAATTTTTTTTTTTAAAATTAGCCGTTGGAGCTCGTTAGGCCCGTTGGGCCCGGTTGAACCGGCCCAGGCCCACCTGCCGGTCCCGGGCTTAGCGGTCCCGGGCTCGTGGGCTCCTTGAAGTAGACCGGCCCGCCACGGGCCTTGCGCACCATTTGGGACCGGCCCACTGAGACCGGCCCACCAGGCCCGTTTGGCCCATTTGGACCGCGGTCCCGGTCCGGTCCCGGGCTGGGCCCGGCCCACAGTGCAGCATTAGCTCCTTTCTTTTTGGGGATCAGAGCGATGAAAGATGCATTACATGATCTCACCATGTAACACTGCTGGTGAAATTGGTTGAGCGCCCCCATCACCTCTGGCTTGATAAAGTCCCATGTCTTTTGAAAGAAGGCCATAGTAAATCCATCTGGACCAGGTGCTTTATCTGGAGCGCATGAGCTTTTTCTAACATCTCCCTGTCTTCACTTGATAATCTGCCAACATCATCAAAATTAGCACTGGGCCTCCAGGTTTCACTCTCAGTGTACAGGTTCTGGTAATAGTTCAAAATCTCTTCTTTGATCACATCCTTATCATCTGTTATTTCATTATCCACTTTGAGCTTGTCAATATTGTTGGTCCTCCTGTGTGAGTTTGCAATTGTTTGGAAGTATCTTGTGTTCCTGTCTCCTTCTTTAAGCCACAAGCATCTTGATTTTTGCCTCCATGAGATTTCTTCAGCTTTAGCCAATTCCATTAGCTCCACTTTCAGGTTCACTACCATTTGCTTCTCAGCTTGTGTTAGAGCTCTGTTTTCTGCTGTCTGATCTAAAATTGAGAGCTCCTCCAAGGCCTTGGTTCTTTTTGCTTCCACTTTGCCATAGACATCTCTGTTCCAGTTGCTTATGTCCTTTTTTAAATTTCTCAGTTTTTGTACTAGTATAAAATCTGGGCTGCCACTTATGACGTAACTCTGCCACCACTCCTTCACCATGTCAATGAAACCTTCTTGTTGCAGCCACATGTTTTCGAACTTGAAAAACAATAGTTTGTTGGAACGAAAATTGTTCTGATTTTCAAAACAAAACGGGTTTTGCTGTAAAAACAGTTTTCTTTTTGGAAAAAGAAAAAGAAAAAAACAAAGCCAATTCTCAGCACACACCCAGAAACCATTCTCACATACAAAATCTGAACACATTCTGGAAAAAAAAATGCAGAACAAAAACAAAAAGAAAATTGTTTTCTAATTCAAATTCATAGTAAATTTGCTGTTGGTTTCTAAGAGCTATTTAAAAAGTTCTGGTGTTTTAGTTAGCAGGCCTCAATGAGCTTTCCTCAACTTAACCCTACCAATTGGCCTAATTTAACTATCTTAGTTTCATTTTTGGTTAATTATGTCTAGTTTACTAGTTAGGTTTTTCCACAACACCAAATGCTTCTGTATTACTCCATTGGAGAAAAATTAGATTTTTATGGAAACTCATATATGCTCTTTCATCACCCAAACTGAAACCGGAGCATGGGACTTATTTGTCTTCTACAAGTACTTCCTCAATCTAAAAGGAAAGTTATTATTTGTGGAGTTTTTTTACTGCATTTTGTTGAAACATTTTTACATAGTTTTACTTATAATAGATTGTTATATAGTACGTTTATGTACTTCCTGGATATGTAAATTTACTCCAAAAAATTACAAAATTAAAAATTAGATGCATTGGACCTCGTGCTCAGAACCTTGCCATTCTTCTTGCGAGAGGAGTACTAAGTTTGTCAAAAAGATTAACGTTATCTCATGTTTTAATACAATTCAAGTTCAATAATTGAACTTCAACTCATATAATACTAATACTTGTCGCGAGTATGAGTATTGGGTTGGATGCTCTCAGCTTGTTCAGCTGATTCAGGTTAATCCAATTTGTCAAAATATTTGAAAGCACAAATCTATTGCCGAATCAGAAAATTTGGTTTTACTCAGTCTTTTGTGTCCAGTTTTTAATTCCGAGCATCTTGTTGGCGTGGCCCTTGTGGAGGATAAGATGCAAGAGGCGAGACTTAGATGGTTCGGGCATGTAGAGAGGAGAGGCACTGATACTCCGGTGAGGAGGTGTGAGAGGTTGGCGTTGGAGGGCCAACGGAGAGGTAGAGGCAAGCCGAGGAAGTATTGGGATGAAGTGATTAGGCGAGATATGGCGTTGCTCCAGCTAACTGAGGACATGACCATAGATAATAAGGTGTGGAGGTTGAGAATAAAGGTAGAGGGTTAGGTAGCCGATTGTTGTCCTTGTTTGTCGCAGTAGCTTTGATACAACTCTTAGTGTCTTTCGGGTACTTCTTTTTATCTCTAGATTGTTGTTATTACTTATTGCTGCCTTGTTTCGATTTTCTGTTTGCACTACTTAGTGTTAGTTTTATATTTTCGCTTTGGCTGTCAGATTGGTTTGCTTATTATTGCCCTTTCCCTTTTTCCTCCCTGAGCCGAGGGTCTTCCGGAAATCTCCTCTCTGTCAAAGGCAGGAATAAGGTCTACGTACACTCTACCCCTCCCCAAAATAAAAATAAAAAGGTAAAATGATCACTTATTGTGGATTTGAGGGAGTACAAAATAAAACTAGTAGAATACAAAGTAAGCAAACGTTAATGTGTGAAAAATACATGTATATAAGAAATATTACACATTATTTATAACTAGGTATTTAAACTATATTTTTCTTTAAGATAGAAGTATTAAATAATTATCAACATAATAGACCCCCCTCCCCCCCCCCTCCCGACCTTGACGACTTCTATTTAGTTCAAACTTGAAGTTTATGTTGGCTTAATTACCCCCCCCCCCCCCCCGAACTTAACAAATTTGATAGCCTCAAAGGCTTGGCAAATGATGCTACAGTACTATCAGGCACTGCGTACTGGAGAAGGAAGCCTAGAGACAAGGCATGGATGGTGTTACTTTCTTGAGTATAAGCCATGAGAATGAGAAGGAGCTTGAGAAACCTTTCAGGAAGAGGTGGTTAAACAAGTTGTTTTGTCATTGCTTAGGTAATGAGGCACCAAGGTTTGATGGTTTGCACTCTAACCCTAACATTCTTCAACATTGTAGGGAAATGGTTTTTACAAAATGATGTGTTGGAATGTATAGATATTTCCATTTTTGTGGATCATTTGGGATAAGTTTCAATTCATCATTTAATAGTTTTGATGCCCAAGAGAAGAGGGGCATCTGATATGGAGCATGTACAAAATCATGGCAAAAATAGTATGAATAAGGTATAGGATAGTAATGGATTAGCATCTTTTACTTAGAGTGCTTTTGTAGTGGAAGACAAATCTTGCATGCAAGTTTTATTTCTAATGAGACAGGGTACTCGAGGCTCAGAAGCGGATGATCATGGTTTACGTGCTAAGCAGATATGGGAAAGCTTATGACCACGTAAAAAGGAAGTTATTAAATAAATACTCCTGCAGAATGGGCTTTTGGCGACAAAAAGTTGATACATTATCACATATCCACCGTAAAGTTCTCCATAATGATTAAGGGGACTCCTATGGCTATTCCAGTAATAATAGAGGCATTAGACAAGGAAACTCGTCATCTCTGGCGATCGAGGGAATGAATGAAAAGATCCATATTTCACATCTTTTATTCCTAGATGATAAATTGATATTGTGCGAATTACACATAAGACATGTATGATCATTGTTCAAAAATATTAATATGGTTTCAGGTTAAACCAGACAATGTATAGATATAATGAATTGAGATTATATTCCCATAGGAGAAGCACAGACCATACAAGAATTAACATCATCATATGGATATAAGGTGGCTAATCTCCTGAGAACTTAATCTGATCCCACTTTCTGTCATTCATCTAATCCTCCATCTCAAACTAGTTGAGATAGGCTATTTGAATCCTCTATACTCTATCCACTCTACTTGAGCCCATTTATCTGACCCTACCTTAAGGTGGTGACCGGTGATGCGAAAAATTTAAAGGAGATTGGAGAATGAAAAAAGCAATATTTTTCCAATAGGGGTGTAAAAGCTCTAGTAGAAGCGACACTTTCAAGCCGGTAGTTCACAACTCATGTTACTGGTCACCATTTTGCTTCTATTAGCTTGAGTAAGAAATTAATAAGGGACTTTTTGTGGTGTGAAGCAACAGTAGAGAGGAGATATTTGCTGGTAGAATGCGACAAGGTCATGGCCTCAATTAGAGCAAAAGGTTTGGGAGTCAGTAAAAACCCATATAAGTGTGGCACACGCACCGTCACATGGATTTTTTGTCAATGTGGCCTTTTTTAGAATAAAATTTTTTTTTTAACCTTTTTAAATCCAATTATTATGATCATTTTTTTGGAGCCAAATCTCTAGAAAAAACTTTCAAACGTTATTTTGGCTACAGCTTTATTATTTTGGCTAAAGATAATGATATCCTAGTAGAGTTGTTTAAACAAATGACACTGTTATAATAAATAATCATTCCATGTAAAGAAGAAATAAAAAATATGCAGTTAGAACTCCATTATTTTGGCTAAAAAGGCAAAACATAAAATTCCCACCAAATGTCTAACGAATTTGACCCGAAAAGGAATTAATACATAGTTAAACAAATAGTCATTGCATGAGAAGAAGAAATACACAGTTTTTTTCACTCTTGAAAATACACCACTTGAACTCAATTACTTTTGTTAAAACATCTTTTTATTTGGCTAAAATAATGGAGTTCCAAAGATTTTGCTCGAAAAAAGAAGAGAAATACAATTGAGATAAAATATCCAAATGTATAGTAAGATGAAACATAGAGAAGCAAAGTTGGAACAAATAAATTATTGTATTTGATTATGTGGCAATTAATAGTTGAAAAATATCCCATTTGGAATCTGATTTTTTTATTTTTTTCTCCCTCTCACGCACAAACCGATAGTGTATTCACGCTCTTTGCCACATCTGTGTCAAGGGAGTTGAGGCTATCAGATTGCCAAGTTTAGGGGGAAATTAGGCTACCCTAAAGTTTAGGTGCGTATTGAATAAAAATCGTCACGTTGAGGGGGAGTCCCAATATATTCTGCCAAACTAATATTGTAAAGAATAATCGGTATCTTGACTATCTTTCAAATAAATAACATCTTAACTTAAAATAATCAATACAAATTTTAACTATGAAATTAAGTTTTTTACCCGCTCATATGAATATTATATGAAATATTTTATTTTTTGCACTTTTTAAATAACAAAAAGATATATATGAGTTTAGAAGGTATTTTTTCTTAATACATATTTATACTAAAATGAATGGAAAGCAAAGCTAGTAAAATACGAAATTGTTTTTAACAATTAAGAAAAATAAAGTATAAAACATGCGAAGTTGCAAAATTATATGGAAGCACACCATAAGCAATACGTTCGAAAGTTGAAAAATGAGAATAAGAGAAATGGAAAAAAGATAGTGTAAAAGATAACACTTAAATATTTGAAAAAAGAAAAATAAAAGAGAAATAGAAAAGCTATATAAGCTTATAATTACACGTAGTAATTACCACCAATTCTTACTTACCCCTTGAGAATTGGAGACTGTAATTGCAACCCCCACGTTACACTTAATTCCATGCAAACCGTGTAATTATTTGGCCAAACAAACATCTTAATTGTGTAATTGCACCAAATGGTGGCTTTTCAAAGAGGCTTTTATATACTTCGTAATATGCATTTACTGGTTTTACCTTAACACCCATATACATACTCCTATCCTTATCCCCGAATCCTAAAATTCAGGTGATGACGAACTTCTAGATCCATACTCATGTCAGGTGCCACACCTGTTCCGAGCAACATAGATGGGACTCATGCTTTTTCATAACTTCTCTCTTCACATACTTATCATGATTTAACAAGTGGCACAGCTTGAATAACATCACCTACAACATGACTTACATTTAGCTTATAAGTGAAAAAAATAGTTACTCACACGCAAGTCAGTCTTATCCGAGAAGCAATCAGTTTCTGTGCGAGGATAACTGATAAAACCATTTTGATATAGATCTTCTGCCACCTGTCAAAAACTCGAAAAGGAACAGAGGAAGTTAATCTAATAATCCCGATCCAGAAGCATGTCGAGCAATTAAACATATTCATCAGCAAATATTAAAGGGCATACCACATCAATGAGGCAAATAATGTAAAATTCTGAACACTAGACCAATCAACCCACTGACCGATAGAAAAACACCGGAAGAAGATACATAATACTCCTATCCTAGTTTATGTTATTCACTTTGCATCCTGGTCCCAAAATTCGTCTCGCTGCTGCTAGTATTAATTTTCTTGAGAACTTGTCAAGAACTCAGTACATTTAGCTATTCAAAATTTCAAAAAGTCTCACAAAACATTTTTCCATATAAACAAATTTTCAACTATCATTTTGTTCTATTTCAACAAAAATATACAATTCAAATTAAACTGTAAAATTCGCAAGTGGAACAACATCACATTAAGATGGGGACAAAGACAAAGGAAGTAGGACATTCGAAAACCATGAAAATACTAATGTCTTACCAACACCAATCATTCTGAGACCCATGAAGTAACACACCAGAAAAAAACTAAGAGAGTCAAATTAGTCTAGAAAAGTGTACCCGTCCAACTCCCCCGCGCTTGGGCAGATTGGGCTAGGAATACATTCATTGATGGGTCAATTTGGGCACACCAAACCCAAGGTGACTCATACAGAAGCTTCAGAGCAGCCCAACTTGACCCATAAGTAAACTTCGACAACAAATACAAAATGACATTTTATTTAATCGTTATGGATATTTCTGTCTTTATACTTTCACAATCTTTCTCTGTATAAAGGAAAAAAAGTGGTTTGATAACTAAACAAACTATTAACAAAACAAACAAATAAGTGGAAAAAATGGCTTTGATCCGAGCAGGTTCAACTATGACCCATAGTTTAGTCAAAACTGATATCACCCATCTTGCTCCACATAAAATTGGGGTCATAAATCATTTATTGACCCACCCTATTTTGACCCACCCCCTCCCCAAACTCGCCCCTTTGACACCCAAAACTAATAAATGTGGATAGCATAGTTCTAATGCATTAGAAATTATGGGTATTTAAAGAAAAATATCTAAATTCTGGATGAACATACAAGCTCAAATCATGATGCTAGAGAAGCACAAGTGGAGGCCATATTGTCTACAACAATGGAGGCTTATTGGGCTTACGAAAGTGCCAATGGATTTGGAGAATTGAGCCACGAATTTAAAATGCTTACACTAATTAGCCTTAGTCCAATTGAGGCCCAACAATCTCAAGAAATTGAAGAAGTCCAATAATCCATTCAAGATTAGGAATTATTTTCCTTAAAGAGTAGGATTTCTTAATTCTTGTTTAGTAAGGATTAGTTGGTATTTCATTCCTACTAGAATTCTTTTTTCTATTTTAGTTAGGATAGGTTTTCTCAGCCTTATTATTATTCTTTTTTTTATATAACCGTGGTCTCCGGTTCAACTTGCGCGCACCTTGACTAATTCCACGGGATACCTGCCACCTCCCACCAGCAACAGGTACCAGGTAACTCTATCCATCAAGACTTGGATACAACAACAACGACCCAATAAAATTCCACTAGTGGGGTCTGGGGAGGGTAGTGTGTATGCAGACCTTACCCCTACCCCGAGGGAGTAGAGAGGTTGTTTCCGAAAGACCCTCGGCTCAAGAAGACGAAGAGAGACAATATCAGTACCACCAATAGAAAACATAACATCATGAAAATGAAAAAGTAGATGCAAAGCAAAAGCGATAGACAGTACATGCACCCAACGCTATGAAAAACGAAAGAGTAGTAAGACACAACATTGCCACCAGCTGACTTCGACAAAAGCCCTACCAGACTAGCCTCACAAAGGTACGAAGTAAGGAAAGACTAAACTATCTCCTAACCTACAGCCCTAATACTCGACCTCCACAGCTTCTTCCTCTCCCTGTACTGTTCCACCAACCTCCTAATAAGGTGTATAGCTTCCGTAGTAGAACGACCCGGCATGAACCCGAACTGGTTGTCGGATATAGACATCATCCTCCTCACCCTCGCTTCAACCACCCTCTCCCGAACTTTCATGGTATGACTCAGTAATTTGATACCCCTATAATTGTTACAATTCTGGATATCACATTTGTTCTTATACAACAGAACCACCGTACTCCACCTCCACTCATCCGGCATCCTCTTCGTCCTAAAAATAACATTAAACAGCCCAGTCAGCCACTCCAAGCCTGCTCTACCCACACACTTCCAAAATTCAACTGGAATTTCGTCTGGCCCTATCGCTCTGCCCCTACTCATCTTACGCATAACTCCCACGACCTCCTCTACCTCGATGCGCCTGCAGTGCCCAAAGTCACATTGACTCTCGGAATGCTCCAGTTCACCTAGCACAATATCCCGATCCCCTTCTTCATTCAGAAGTTCATGAAAGCAAGTCTGCCATCTCCTCTTAATCTGGGCATCTTCCATCAATACTCTACCATCATCGTCCTTGATGCATCTCACTTGGTCCAAATCCCGAGCCTTCCTCTCTCTCGTCTTGGCCAGCCGGAATAACTTCTTCTCTGCGCCTTTTTCCCCAGTTCCTCGTCATACGGCCATAGACCGCAGTCTTAACCTCCATGAATGCCAACTTAGCTTCCTTTCTAGCTACATTATACCACTCCATGCACGCTCTCCTCTCCTCCTCACGTGTGCTCCCTACTAACTTCAGGTATGCCACCTTCTTCGCTTCCACTTTACCTTGGACCATTTCATTCCACCACCAGTCTCCTCTGTTCCCGCCAGAGAAGCCCGTCGAGAACCCTAATACCTCTCTCGCAACTTCCCTTATACAGTCTATTGTCGACGACCACATAATGCTCATGTCACCACTATTCCTCCAGGCTCCAATAGCCGATAACCGCCCCTCCAACTCCTAGGCTTTATCCTTAGTCAAGGCACCCTACCTGATTCTCGGTCGTCTTCGGCTAGACCTTTTCCCTCTCTTTAACATAATACTAACGTCCATCACCAAGAGCCTATGTTGCGTCGCGAATATCTCACCCGGAATAATCATACAATGTTTGCACAACCCTCTGTCACACCTCCTGAGGAGGAGATAGTCAATCTGAGTCTTCGCCACTACGTTTTGAAAAGTAACCAAATGTTCCTCCCTCTTCGGAAAGCTAGAGTTCACAATCACCAACCCAAAAGCCTTAGCAAAGTCCAACAGCGAAGTACCTCCTCCATTCCTCTCCCCAAAACCTAAGCTCTATGTACCTCGCCATAGCCGCCTACAGTCGGCCCAATATGACCATTGAAATCCCCTTCTATGAAAAGCCTCTCCGTAAGCGGGAGCTGGCGCACGATCTCATCTAACCCCTCTTAGAATCGTCGTTTAACATCCTCATCTAGGCCCGTATGCGGCGCGTAAGTGCTAACGATGTTTAGGGTGCACTCTCCAACCACCAACTTAATAGTTATCAATCTATTATTCACCCGTCTAACCTCAACCACCGACTCCCTAAGTTCCCCATCCACCAAGATACCCACTCCATTCTTACCCTTCCGGACTCCGGAGTACCAATGCTTATACCGTCCGCATCCCTCGCCCTCGACCCTACCCACCTAGTATCCTGGACACATGCTATATTGACCATCCTCTTCCGGAGGATCTTTGCCAACTCTATAGACTTACTCGTCAATGTACCTACGTTCCATGACCCAATTCTCAACTATAGGCACCCTTGTTCCCCTTACCTCCCTTGCCGCCATTCCTATCCCCTAGCCCCTGCCCCACCTCCCGCCCCACCCCCCTCTCCCGATCAAGACTTGGATAGATGGGAGAAAATCGCCTAGTATTTTTTGTCTCTCCTGGGATTTGAACATGAGACCTTATGGTTCTCACCCATTTCATTGACCACCACTAGGCCACACCCTTGGGTGCTAGCTTTATTCTTATTCTAGTTTAATTAGGATTAATTATCCTAAACATTATCAATTTTACTCATTGTAAAGCCGATTTAAAGGGCTCAATATGCTAAAAATAAACATTGGTGATTAGTTTTTTAAGGCACTTGCTTCAAAAACGTGATTTCTCTTTTGTTTATTTCTTCTTCCTTTATTCAACGTTTCTTGCAATCTTGCGGGACTGAAGAACGTGTGGGTAAGGTTCTTTTCATCTTAAATTCTTCAGACGTGAGTTTGAAGAACGCTTTCGCTAGTCTTGTGAAAAACTTTAGCAGGTTGGTTTTGTTTTCTCTCTTCTTTGTGCTTGAGAGGTGCAAAACCTTGAAAGAACATCAATGGTATCAAAGCACTAGTTCTAGGTCAGAATTCTTAAATTATTATCTTGTTCATCATGTCGCTAGACAAGAAAATAACAAACTTGGAATCATTTTCAACTGATGAACAACTTCAAATTGAAAGATTAAGAAGTAAAACCCTTGAACGAGATAAAGAAATTAAAGTGCGACTAGATGGCTTTAAGAAATTAATGCAAAATTGGTTGAAGGTTTGGCGATTCAAAATCAGCTCCCAAATCCGCCACAACGCCTACAACCTCCACTACCACCAAGACATAATATACCAGTGCCACCACTACGTCTTCCACTTCAAGATCCACCAATTCAACCGCGTAAAGCATGACATATTGAGCAAGCGGAAGAAGCTATAGCTAACCAAGGCATAAGAGTACTGAGGCGCCATGCTTACTATGATAAAAACTCAAATTCGGAATACTCAGATGATCAAGGTAGTGAAGAGTACGACCCTGACGAAGTTCGGTATCAACATGATAGAAGGAGACATCATAGAAAGCCACACAACAATTATCGAGAGAGGTATCAGCGTGATGATATTAAGCTTGAAAATCTAAAGTTTGATGGCAAATCTCAAGGCGATGAATTCATTGATTGGCTTGTAAATATTAAGTTGTGTTTGATTATAAAGAATATTCTGATGAGAAGAATGTCAAACTTGTAGCTATAAAGCTTAGAGGTTATGCATTACTATGGGGGGAAGCCCTCAAAAGGGAGCAAGAGCCTGAAGGAAAACAAATTTGCACTTTGGAGAGAATGAAAAGAGAATTGCGTAAACAGTTCTTGCAAGAGACATATGAAGAAAATTCTTACTTGAAGTTCATTCTTTTAGATAAGGAACTTTATCCGTGGATGAGTACACAAGAGAATTTAAATATCTTAGACTCTAGTGACATTAAAGAAAAACCAGCCCGCCTAATTGCTCAATATTTGGCTGGACTAAATAAGCCTATTGCGAATGTGATTCAGTTGCAGCCCCATTGGACCTTTGGAGATGTTGTCAAACTAGCCAAGGTCGTAGAGACACAACATAGGGAAGTCAAAGCCACATTTTCATCAACTACCATCAAAAAGCCGAACACTTTCAACCATGGGAGTACTAGTTTGAGATCTCCAAAGCCACAATCATCTATAACAAAACCAAGTGTCCAGAAAGTTGAAGAGAAGCCCATGGCTTAAGAAGCTATTTTTAAAAAGAGATGCCATAAATGTGGATGACTTGGGCATATACAAGCTGATTGTCCTAACAAAAAGGCATTCATTATCCTTGAGTTTAACAGCAACAAAGTCCATGACCTTGGGATATGAAGCTTCATCTGCAAAGCCTCAAATAAAGAACTTAGTGCTTGAAGCTGATTATAATCACCTAATATAACGGTTGTGTAAATTTTATACCTTAGGTTACCTATATTAATTGCAGGCCTCAATTCTACAAAGAAACCAAAGAGGCAAATAAAAGAAAAGGAAAACTAACAATATTTCCATAACAAGGAAATTAAAGAAAAAAATATGTGCAAAACAGCAAAAGAGAGATTTCCAGTAAAAAAACTTTTGAACAATGCCAACCTTCATTGTCTGCTCGGAACTCATACGGAAGTATCTGGATGCACGCTTTTCAAGCTCGATTGTACTTAATGGATGAGGGGGGTATTTGAGTTTCTCCTGCTGTTTAACTTTGGACACCTTCCCAAATCAACATAATCAATTAAGCTTCGCAACCTCAATTTCTGGTCTATAAAAAGGTTTAGCTATGAGAATTGGCTTTTTAGAGCTCACTGTTGCAGTGGGTTCCTGGATGCACATCTCATAAATTGTTACTGCACATGTGTAATCAAACAGATGACCACGCCTGCCAAGTCAAAATTAGTATAGGTACTTTGATCTTCTATTTCAGAAATAATCTTATGATGGAACCAAGTGCAACATTACATCCAGTTAAACGTAGCACTGCCTTCATCGAAATTGTGAGTACAATTGATTGTCCAAAACTCTTCAGGCTCATGTGCTTGTATTTCCCAATAACGCTCCACAACAAAGCCAAGTGTAGGGAACTGCAGCAAATACGATGTGCACTGCAAAATTTTACACCTCACACAGTAAAACAAAATCCACCTAGTAAAAATGTTATACTATCTGTTACCTGGCAGGGACCATAGCTTAAGACAAGATTTCTATCATCAGTTGCAAAATCAAGGACAAATGCATCTCTCAGAAGCATTGTCTGAAATCTTGTAAAAGAAGCTCCAATACGAAGATCTATCTCCTGCAAATTCAAATAGAAAAATACAGTATGAGAAACAAAGAACTATATTAGAGCATTCTGTCATACTTGACCAACCAGTAATAAAGATTCCGCCAGTAAAATATAATGGTTATCACTTAATTTATTATTTAAAAAGGTTATTGCAATTTTATTGCCAACAGGAAGATGATGGTCAAGCTCTAGTTGGCTGTCTCGGACCTAAGGAAGCTTTTCACTGTCTTAAAATAGAATGACTTGAGGAACGGAACTCACTTGCCGAACATCTACAGCATCAGAAAATAACTGATTTGGCTGAACAAGGGTCTGCACTGATTGGTGAATTTCCCTGGTGATCTCAGAAGTATTTTTCAGAAAGCAAAATGACAATTCATGAGTAGCACGTAAAACCTTAATATGGAACACAAGATGTCAGGTAGCTGGCAGAACCTGTCAATTAAGGCAGAGAAACGAGCTCTCCACACATTAAGGTTACGATTCGCTTGTCTACATACTTCCAACACTTCAAATGCAATATTTTCTCCTTCTCTATCACAATCAAGCCACAATATAATCCACTGACATCTTCTGGCTTCTTCCTCCAGTGTCCTTTTGATATCCAATTTATCCTACAAATGACCAGAATATATTATAGCCCATATTTTCATATTCTTTTACAAATGACGTCTCAATTTCAATCACAACAATGTTGCGATAAACCAAAGGAGAAAAACATTTATATTTTTCTCACTTTACAACATGGCAAGAGGGAGGAAACAAATACACCAGTATTTGACATGAATACAAAATATTGAAACATTTTAATCTGGGGACACATAATTTGCATCTACAACTTCCCTTTGGGATGCGGGGGGAGGACATTTGGGAGGTTACGCCATTGTGTATATTTTGGATAGGCAGGACTAGAAGAATACTTGAAGGGAAAGAAGCGGAAGATTAGAAATACCAACTCTGCATCTAGAAGAAATACAAATTCTTTTCCAACAAAAAGAAACTGTAGGGGAGGAGATGAAAGACGGTACCTGAGGGACATACTTGCGAACAGGGGCATCGTAGAGGTGGAGGGGGTCACAGGAGTGCCATTTGCGGAAACGATCGTCAAACTCAAGCTCCATGAGGTGGCCGGTGACAGAGGTAAAGAGCATCTGGCAAGGCTGGTTCCGAATGGTGTAGTTGAACTCGAAGATTTTGTTGTACCTGGAACGTCCGTCTCTCACTCTCATCCCACCTCCTTGATTCCTCGATAGTATCCCCGACACTGCCTTCGCCACCGATGGCTTTTCTGCCACGTTCAGCACCCTTATCACCCGCCCTCCGCCTCCGCTTCCACCGCCCGCCATTCCGCCGCTGCTTAATAGTAGGATTTTCCCGGCTTAACTTAAAGCTGTGCAGCCAAACCTCATTTTATTCGTTTTCCGGAAAATGGCTAAAGATGGGGAGAAATTAAAAAATAGACAGATTTAGCATTGGTTGTCGAAAAATAGCTAAGTTTCAAAAGTCATCGAAATTTAGCCACTTTAAATCTGAGCTTATCGAAATTTAGCCACTTTAAATCTGAGCTTTTAGAAGGGTAGGCATTCCCGTCCGCCCTTACACAGGGCCCCCAAGAAAGGCCACTTTAAATCTGAGCGAAAATACTATTCAAAATCCAGAAAAATACGGGAGTTCAAGCATACTTATGCTGGAACTCCCGCAAATTTTACGGGAGTTCAAGCATAATTATGCTGGAACTCCCGCAAATTTTACGGGAGTTCCAGCAAGTATAATTGTCCGGTATAATATACTGGAGTTTGGAGCATTGGTGCTCCAGTCTCCCGCAAATTTTACAGGAGTTAGCAAAGTATATCGGTCCAGCATAATATGCTGGAGTTCGTACACAAATGCACCAGAACTCCCGTATATTATACTGGACCGGTCCCTGTTGAAGCAAAATAGTGGCTATTTTTCATTGACTTGATAAACGCTGGCTATTTTTCATTTGACCAGTGTGAAAACTGGCTATACCATGATATTTTAACCTAAAAATGCCCCAACCTAGAGCCTGTTTGGATGGGCTTTTATTAACTTGTGAAAGTGTTTCGCAACCAAAAAAGAGCTTAAAAAAAGTTAAAATCTGCTTAAAAAAAGCTAAAAGCATTAAGAGGGTGTTTGGATGGGTTTAAAAGCTGGTCAAACCAGCTTTTAAGCACTTTTTTATGGGATGGAGTGTTTGGATAAAAAAAAAAAGCTGCTTAAAAAAAGCAAAAAAGTGCTTAAAAAAAGCTAAAAGCAAGAAGTTGGTCTACCCCAACTTTTTTTATTTTGGCTTAAAAGCCATTTTGGTTTGACCAGCGAAATTACCCTCCTGTCCCTTATAACTTTTTATAATAGCAAAATTGCCCCCGGTAAAAGAAACCCTAAATCATCGTGTTTCTCATATTTTCTTTAGTTGAACTTTGAAGACTGCCTCTCCTTTCATCTTCATCATCTCTCCTTCATCTTTAAGGAAGCTCTTTCTTTGAACAAGATTATCCAATAGCCATCTCACAAAATTATCGTTTGACCAGCGAAATTATCGTTGTAAGTTCTTCTCGATCCTTAATTGTATATTTTTGTTTGAATTGGAAAATTTTACTGATTTGATTATACATGTTGTCGAGCAGTATTTACATCGCACAGTAATCATCACCTATCAGCTTCAATCACGCTCCCTTATGGATGAAAAAAGATTTGTGCTCTTAGAAATTTTGTTTCACATAAGTTGATTTCAAACAGACTTTATTCATAATTTTATTTTTCTTGGTTTCTTGTTAATTGATCTGTGCTCTTAGAAATGGGTGCAGAAATTACAAGTCAACAATACTTGCTTTGTAAAGTTATAAAGAAGAATAATCTTCGACAGCAGAAAAAATATAAAACCAAAAGAAACATACCAAAACCATGGCCTGGCTTTCGGTTGCATATTTCACAGTGCCATACATCCTGAAAATTATATGATAGTGATTACTTTAATTTTCTATACAAGGAAAAAGTTGGTCTGCTTTTCGACCTGGCACATGATCCTTACTTTGTATAAACAATTACAACACAAACTTAACTTCTAGATGGTACAGAACACATTCTTAGTTACATAAACCAACTTATTCATTATGCAATATTCCTAATGCTTGATCTGAGTTAACATACAAAAGTACTGGTATTACTATTTTTACATATTCAGTCTTAGCTTCTTGGTTGCTCTGCTTTCTTCAGATTATTTACATTCAGTTATGCCGGACAACGCTAAATGGGACGATGATACACATATTATATTTATTGAGTTGTGTGAGCAAGAGGTTAGAAAAGGAAATAGACCAAACACTTACTTAAATAAAGATGGGTGGAAAAGTCTTGTTGACGAGTTCTGTAAGAAGACGGGAAAAGACTATGATAAAAAAAATAAAAAATCATTGGGATTACATGAAAGGAGAATGGACACTTTTTAAGCAGTTGATGAGAGGGGAGACGGGGTTAGGATGGGATGCCACGAAAAATACGATTATGGCAGATGATGATTGGTGGGAGCGAAAAATTAAGGTACATCTCTCACATTATCATATGTGTAATTTTTTTTGTCATTGTTAATTTTATCTGTTTGATTAAAGTAGTTTTTATTTTCTTTTTACAGGAGAATGCAAAATATAAGAAATTTAGGAACAAAGATCTTTCGCTCATATGGTTTCGCTACGATGCACTGTTTGCTGATGTTGTTGCCACAGGAGAAAGAGCACGTGCAGCAAATCAAGAACAATCATCGGGCATTGGACTTAATCTCGATGAAGAAGGGATAAATGTTATTGATGATTGTGACAAAGAACACTTCACTTATCTTAATGATGAAATGAGCGATGAAAGTGATGATCTACAGAATATAAATTCTGTTGTGTTTCCAGAGCCATCACTAAAAAGACAAAAATCAACTGATGGTGTTAGTAGCAGTAGTCAAGTAAGAAAGAGTAAGAAAAAAACAGCTGCAACATTAATAAAAGAGGATATACACTCTCTCATAGAGTTTATGTCTAGCAAAAGCACTGCTACATCTCCTGCAGTTGATGAGACATCCATCGAGAAGTGTATTGGCACGTTGGGACAAATTCCCTGGATATTCTATGCCTGGAGTGAAATTTACAGTTTTAACTATGAATATGTTCCGCAAGAAAAATAATCGAAATATTTTTGGGGATGCCTACTGATGAAGCCTCGCAAGTGTTGGTTGGAGTTTAACTACCAGTTTATACCTTAACAAAAATGGATAATATATCGTTATGGTTGAGTCTTTATTATGATTTTATGTGTAAACTTTATTATGGTTTTTGTATTTAGATGTTGTGATTGTAATGACTAAACTTTTATTAAATATAAAGATTTTGTTTGTTAAGCTTTTAACGCAGCTTCAGTTGTAAAGCTTATGAATTTGTAAAGCTTTTAGTAAAGCTTTTTAATTAGCGTAATCTTATGTCAAATGTTTTAATTAGTAGCTTATGTTAAATGATAAGCTTTTAACTAATAATGCTTCAATTGTAATGCTTATGTTAAATGCTTCAGTTAGTGAGCTTATGTAAATGCTTCAGTTTAGCTAATGTTAATGATAAGCTTATGAATTTGTAAAGCTTATGTTAATTCATGTTCTGGAAATGCTTCAGTTTGTAAAGCTTATGTTGTAAACTAGCTTTTAACTAGCTTCACTCCTCCAGTTCTTTTTTAAATTTCACAAACTAATCATTGGAATGCATTTGTAAAGCTAACAGTTAACTCCTTCTTACTTATGTTTTTATTTTCCAGTTGAAATGGAGAGTTCAAACTCTAGTGACATAATAGATCCTTATCCAAGTTATTCGTCAGACGATGAAGATGAAGAAAAACTGGAGGAAATACAGAGGAGCAAGTTGAGAAAGGAATGGACTGCTGAAATGAGAGATATATTCCATCTGTTGATCCTGATGTTGGTCAGTCTTTGAGAGCTAATAACAGTATAAATGCGGAAAATGTTGGAAGAGCAAAGTGATCTTGTTTGGATGGGTCTTCGCGATTTGATTGGCTAAGAATTTGTAAGCTTTTGAATACTTGTAGTTTATATGAATCTTTTAAAAACACTAATATTTATTATTTTCATTTCAATTGAAGAAATATTATTTTGTACTAAATTGCAGGTTGACTTTAACAGGCTATGGAAAAAACAAATATCTCTTGACAACATATTGTAACATAACTGGCGACACTCATAATCTATGGAAAAGTCATATTGCTTTGACCAAGTACACTTACATTCTTATCCCTTATAGTTTTTCTTTAATCCCGAAATTACCCTAAAACCTAAAATATGCTATTTTTCTTTCTCGTTTCTGTTGCAGTAGCCTTGCTTTCTTATTCTCTCTTCCATAACTTTCCTCTCTTTCTTTTTATTCCTTTCTTTACTCTTTCATTAATTATTTTCCCATCTTTTCCTTTTCCTTTCTTTTCTTTTCCAATGGTGCTCCTTTCCCGTCACAATATTTTTGTAATAAACCATCACGAGTCAAATTTGACAGGCCAATTCACGCAAAAAAGTTTGAAAGTTAGAAAACATCTTAAATATATTCATTTAATGTTCATTGACATAGTGGTAAACTAGTTAAATTATTATTACATGCCATTGGCCAAGTAGTTATTTTAGTCCAAATTATATTAATAATGTTATTACAATAAATAATTATATATATTAAAAATTATTTTATCAAATCATTGAGAACTTAACGAGGAACAAGACATAAATTTGTTAGGAATAATTTAGCATTAAAAACTTGTAATAATAAGCTTATTTTTTAAGTGTTTATCAGCTTTAAGGATATTTCAGTCATTTTAAAAGAAAAAGTCTAACAACACTTTGTTTACCAAACACTTTAACCACTTTTTTTAAGTTTCAGCATTTTTATCCAAATAAACGTAACTGCTTATTTATAAAACAAGCTCCAGCACTTGTGCTTAAAAGCCACTTTTTTTAGTCAATCCAAACGGGCTCCTAATTTAAATTTAGAGCCCGTTTGGGACACATAACAAAAATGGGGTTTTTGACCAGTTGGTGAGGAATTTTTTCTTTATTCTTACATTCTTTTATTTCTCTGCTTCTTTTTCTTTTCTTTTTTTCTTTTCTCCTTTTTTTTTCTTGTTTCTCTCTTATTTTTTGCCTTTTTTTCTTTTCTAATTTCATTTAACTTCTATTTTTTTGTATATCTTTTTTTTCTTCATATCTAATTTCATTTACTGTTTTCAAGCTGTTGTTTATTATTCTTTTTTTTATATATTATACTAAAGAAAAATCAAATTGTGCACCAATTAAATGTAGTTAATACAACCAAAAATATTTAACTAACATATGATACCAGTATAGTATATAGCTTAATACCAACATGGTATAGCAATTGTACGCAAAAGAGTTAAAAAAATTAATTCAATTATTAAACTGAATTAATCATCAGTTTGTAAAAAAAAAATTCTAAAAGGATCTAATTGTAAGAGTTGCCGTTAACATCATAATAGCATACTGTTATATTTTTTTTTTCCGCATTTTCAATTTACCCCTAGCACGGGGTAAAAGCTTAAAACAAATTAAAAGGGAAAAGACAAGTGAATTTTACGGCGTAATAAGTATACTATTATAGGTATATTGTTATGCTATTACATCAGATATTGTTACAGTATCTTGCATATTATTACAGTATATCCAAACAATATATCGTTATTTTATAATAGTTATATGTTGTAGTTATAACTATAATATCCTATAGTATATTAGTATACTTATAGCGATATACTGTTTTTGTAAACTATAATATATATGTGTTGCAGTAAGCTTATACTCTACAACATATTTGTATACGAGCGCTTAATGTAGCTGAGTGTTTCTTCTTCGATATTTTCAACTGAAAATTTCGGATCTCAATCAACTCAAATCAACTCCAACTTGCTATCAAATTTCAGTATGAACTTCCAGAGGTACTATATTAGCAATATTTTAACAGCACCCACTTTGAATCAAACAAGAAATCTTTCAAAAAATAAATTGAGCTTCCAAGCCCAAACAAGGTGGTTATTCAAATACACATAAAAATTTAGAATCTGGGAAGGCTTACTCGAAGATATATAAGCGCAACCACATCGAATCAAACAATTAAATTCTTCTAAGAAGAGGAAAGTTGTTGTGCAGTCAATAAGCTATAATACTGTGTGTTAATGGCTTCATCTTCTTCATCTTCATTATCATCTACTCACCATGTGCAGCATGTAAATTCCTACGTCGAAAATGCCAGCCAGAGCACGTCGCCTTCCTGCTCCTTTACTTCCCACAGAGTCAACCCCAGAAATTTGCAAATCGTTCACAAAATATTTGGAGCCAGCAATGTAAGACAAGACTTGCTTCAATGAATTGCGAGGCCTCACCAAAGGGAAGACGCCGTACTCTCTCGGCTTATGAGAGCTTGACATGCGGCTCTCCGCGATTAAAGGGTAAATAGGGGGGTAAAATGTAGTTGGGGGCCATGGGTAGGGAGTAGTAATAGTTTGGGCCATGACATTTGAAGGGTTAAATAGTTTGAAATTAATGGTATTAAAGTGAAAGATTTTTTTCAAAAAAGGCAATAAAAATTTCACTTTTTACCTCAATATTGAATTTTTAAAATACTTTCGAAAAATATGAAAAACTTCCAAAAATATTATTTTTTCCAAACATTTTTTGGCCTCAACTCACTCAAATTTTTTCAAAAAACAACCAAAATATATTCATTGTCCCAACACAACTGTAATTTTAAGTATCATTTTCCTTTGAAAAAATTTCACTTCCTTTGAATTTTATAATTCGTATGTCAAACGCGTACTTAGATTAACCTTTTAAAACCCCAAACCATTATAAACATACCTTTCGTGGCACATCAATTATTGCTTCCCTTTTTATCAAATCATAAATTAAAATGCCCCACCCATTAAAAAATTCCTTCGACCTCACATATACCAACCCCTCGACCGATTCTCCTAAGAAAAAAGGCCCCAAGTATTTCTTTCCTCCATTGTTGTCTGACCTTCTTTTCTTCTTACATCTAAGTATTTATTCTCTTCTAAAAAATAGCTTTTGGGTATTTTTCTGCTCTTTTTTTTTTCAATTCCTTCCCATTTAACACCTTCTATAAATTAGTTTCTTTGTAAAGTTCATCACTGTCTGAATCTTCCAGTTCTTCTCGAGACCCAACTAACTCACATAGATACTATTGTGGATGATTACGCATTATTTTACAATGTTTATACTTACCAATGCTTGGACGTAAGATTTTATACATGAAAAAGGCCAAATATGATTGTTCCGTATTATCAAAAATAATGTTTAAATATGCCCTCTTATATATACTAATTGTCATTATCCAGGACCCTACGCGTTTTACCTATGAAGTAGATATACCCTTATTTTGGAACGTAATTTATGTGGTTGCACATGATTTAAAAAGACGCCATACTTATATTTATTTATTACCCAATCCCAAGTCAACCTAGCCCACCAAAATAAAAGGCCTTACGTCAGATAACCATATTTCTTGACTCCATTCGACAAGATTTCACATGGCACACCTATCCTCATTTTCAATGGTTACTAATCAGTGATCAAGCGCACTCACATCTTAAAAAAAAATAAGAGGCTCCAACAATACATACTTCAGTGACGAAAACCCACACAAACAGGGAATTACATAGGAAAACGCCTACCCTCAACCTTTGATTTTTGAGGATATGTAATACTTCAGTACAAGTCTATAAGGTATAATAGTGAGGAGTGGTGAAGGACAGTGGCAATAAAAATTCACATTGGACCCGATTGAGAAAATGTGTGTTTGTCATTTCGTGGAACGGTAATAATGAAGAAGAGGTGTTCCGTCGGTTCCCCCAGTGGAGAGAGATATCTTTGAGGGCTATTGGAATCTTAACCCGAAAAAATTGTCCCTTCATGTGATTTATAATGGGTGAGCGGAGAACTAACTGAGGTAATGGAAAACTAGCTACGAAATAGGAAATGGTGTTCAGGTAGATTTTAGTTGTCGTGGACTTTTTAAAGGTGGGGCTGGCACTTGGTTTGGGCTTAGGTTCACCCCCAAACCTAAAGGCGTGGCCGACCGCCCGTGCCATACTTCGGCCCGAGCGTACCACTCTGTAACTATGAACTCTAGATGGGTAACCCTCAACTTAGGCTCGATGAGGCCGAAAATTTCTGATCATTCTGAAAATAACGTCTACACAACCAGCAATACCAAATTAAAACATCTACAATAGGGCTGGGTAAAGGCCGCAATTCTAATATAAAATGTACAAGGAATCGTCTAACAAGCCTCGCAGGGATAACAGAATGTAATTATGGTCGGGACGGGCCTCGAGCTACCCATCAAAATGTATAATATAAAATGGACTCCATGCTAAGACTATGTGACCTTACAATTTTCTCTATGTATTTTATATACTCAAGATATCTCAAAATAGTATGTTCATGCCATATTATAAGCATGCCCAAAGAGTTTTGGTATCTTTTCCCTTATTTTTGAAAGGTTTTAAATCAATTGTGTTGTCTATTTTAATTAGTACAAAACCAATAATTATTTCCGGGACTATCATTTTTTGTTAATGAATTAATTTATTTTTATTTCATATTTACACCAAGATATAATTAATGTGATTTTTTTCACATTTTTAAAAATTTACTTTGGTTATTAAAGGCTTAAATTGCATTATCTGCACATTATAGCCTTATTTTCCGATTCAACCAGTATTTTTGGAATTGCAAATTGCTCCACAGTACTTTATAATTAATATTTATATGATATAATCCAATTTTAGTGCTTTTAACTGGTTTTGGAAATTATTTTAACATTTTTAAAATAAAGAAAGGGAAGAAATGCTGATTTAACATTTAGCCTCGTCCATTTTCAATTTAATAACCCCTTTGCAATTTTATATTTTAACACCACCAATTGAGGCCCAATTGCAACTAGCCCAAAATTTTAACCTGACCCAATCTATAAAACCGACCGGATCCCCCTTTTTTCTCAGCCGATTGATCTAGAAATCAACGGCTCAGATTGATTATATTCCTTTTAATTCACAGACGACCCTAAACCTAATTCATTTTCCTCCTTGCAGCCGCCTTGAACTCCCAAATTCTCTCAAAGGACCCTCCCCGGAACCCTAGCCTCCCCTACCTTGTTCCACCATGTTTTCACCAGCGTCCATGGCTTCTCAGGCCATGGACAGCCTATACCCACCTCCTATGGCTCCTGCATGCCTGTTGTTCGAAGGATCGAGGCCAGACCTCGAGGGTCTTCACCCAAGCCTTCACCGATTCAAAGATTCCGGCCATCTCCGGCCTTGCTCCGGTGGCTCTTGGTCTTTTGAGCCTGTTTATGACATTATCCGACTTAGATCGGGTATTTTCGAAGCCTTTCTCATCTCTAGGGTTCATCTGGAACCCTAAATATCGAGGTTCTCTCCGATTATTTTAGATCTGTTACATGTTTGCACTGTTGCTTAAGTTTCTTAAACCTTTTTTTTCGATTTTCTTTCAAAAAAGCACTTCTTTTCGATTAGGGTTTCTGGAAAGTCCTTAAAATGTTTCTGACTCTTCTTCTTCTCTTTTCTTGGTGTGAATCGATCCCTGCTATGTTCTTACTGGCTCTTTTCTGACTCACATGCCTTTCGTGTGTTCTTATATTTGCCTTGTTATGAAATTTATTTTATTATGCTCCGTTCTATCTCATACTGGTTTTTCACCATGCTCTCTCATGTCTATCTTATGTGTTCCTCTACTGTATTTTCCTACTGAGTTTTGATCCTTTGTTAGCCTTTACCGGACTTTGCTTGGATTCTTTCTAGATGTGTTTCATCGACTGTTTCTTTAAGTTTACACTACCTGAACTCATTTAATTTTCAAGCTTTCTTGAAACTTGTTTCCTGTACTGGTTCCTATGTTCTACTTGCTATTGTGCTTGTATGCTTCTCATGAGACTCTGAAAAGGTCTCTGAGCTCACCTCGATAGTTTGCCTCTTCATCTCTGTATCAAATTCGAGTTTAAAAACCCTAGGATTTGGGGGTTTTCTTTGGCTAAATTTGGTTTTATGTTTGGACAAGGGTTCTACTTTGAAACCTTGAACTCTCAGACTCACTTCGAGTTTATGAATTGAATTTGAACCTTTTTCTGCGTTTGTGATTTTGAAACCCTCTTGCTTGACATGTCTATGTGTTTTATACGAGAGCTTCTCTTTCAAAGGTCTTGCCAACTGTTAATTGATTCTGAATTCCTTTAATGTTGCTTATTTGATTGTTACTGGTTTTTCCCTAAATTAAAACTTTCCTTTTACCTCTTTTCTGACTCGAGCAAGGCTTTCAATGGGATTCTTTACTGGTTATTTTACTGGTTCCCTTTCCTTGTTTTACAAATCAAGTACCACCATGTATTTACCCTTATTTGTCTACCTTGCACGAGGTATTTACTTGATTTCCTTCCTTAAATAACTTCTGCCCATTGCCGTTTGAATTTGGACTCCTTAATTAAAGGAAGTCTATAGGTTGATTGATTTTAATTGGCACATAGTTCCTTAATTATTACTAAACTATGATTCTTGCCTCATTTGCTACACCTGTTTGCAATTATAAATACCCTGCTCTTTCATTAACACACACACACGACTTTAATCTTCACAACTCTCTTCTAAAACTTACACTCTTGCTTCTTGATTGCAATTTGGCTTCCCTAAATCTACTGTTTCTTCCTACTCGCTCTTATGAACTGGTATGTCCTACTTTTGATTCAAGCATCAAAATCCAATGTGTTTACTTACAAGCTTTTATGCCCATGCCTAATTTACTACTTTATAGAGTTTAGTTTTAAAATGATTACTTATGTTTGGCTATCTGTTATTGCAATGAATCCCTATCCCCATTCCCCTTTATGTGCTTGGGCTGTAGTTTAAGACATGGCAACATACAAAGTTGTTGTCATGGATTAAGATTGGGTCCTTTGGATCCCAGCCTCTTTCAATCTCCCATACCCCCATTCCCTTATGTGTATAGAGTTAAGGTATAGCCTGACAGCCTCTAAATTGCTGTCCATGGCTGAACCTGACCCTCAAAGGGTCCTAACTCTCCAATTTTTAAGTTGACAAGCTGGTCAGGGGTGTGCCAGCAGCCCAGGTGCTAGGCATGACCAGCAGCCTGCCCTGGCTCCCCCCCTAATTCCTTTTCATTGCACTTACACTTACTCCTAAGCCCTTAAGTCCTGCCCCCCTCCTGTGAGCCTTGCCTTGGGACCTTGAGTTCCCTTTGAACTTGGACACTTGAGGGCTGGCCCTTCCACACTGCACTATAATCTGTTCTGCAATAATATTTGGGGTGTAAGCACTGCCTGGAACTCTTGAAGTTCCTTGGAACTTTGACACATCCCAAATAAGAAAAAGGCTTTGAAAAATCCGATTCTGGAAGTTGGTTTATCTCATATTATTAGACTTTGAGTCTGGATTAGGCTGATTAGATGTAGATGTAATCACTGATGTATTTTCATTTATTCTTTTGATTCACTTGGTCTGTCATAAGCTTTGTAATGAACCTTGTAATAACTACTGGGATATAGTGAAAAGGGATGGGATAGAATGCATGCCAAAGGGGTAGATACCATGCCTATAGGGTGTATATTGTCTCAATTCTGCATTTTTCACATAGATACCATGCCTATAGGGTGTATATTTTCTCAATTCTGCATTTTCACGTAGATACCATGCCTATAGGGTGTATGCTTTCTCAATTCTGCATTTTCACGTAGATACCATGCCTATCCACCAAGTCTTGGCGGATCCAGATAGACGTAAAACAACAAAGTCGACCCCATTGGTCTCCATTATCCCCATGTTCCGTAGAACCTCATGACAACTGTCCAAATAATCTTGGGGATCCTCAGAAGATGTACCAGTAAAAGTGGTAGTAAAAAGCTTGGTGAACCTATCCAACCTCCACAAGGCATCAACAGACATAGCTGTTCCATCACCGGTCTGGGCTACCACACCCGGCAGAACTGCTCTAGCTGGCTGAGCTGCTGGAGTCTGAAACTGAGGAGCCATCTGCTCCGGAGTGCGAGTAGCGGGAGTCTGTGCTCCTCCCCCATCCTGAGAGACGGTTGGTGCTACAGGAAGTAAGCCTGCCTGGGCAACACTCTCCATAAGGCCCACTAGACGGACCAGAGCATCCTGAAGTACCGGGGTAGCAATGAACCCCTCTAGGACCTGAGCTGGCCCTGCTGGAACAGTCTGGGCTGGAGCCTCCTCCTCGAACTTTTCCTAAGGCCCCGCCGCTGGTGCTGCTGCTCTGGGCTGGGCCCTGCACCTGCCTCGGCCTCTAGCACGGCCTCGCCCTCGTCCTCTACAGGTTGTAGAAAAGTGCGGGAAAGACATCCTGGTGGAATTTTGGAAAAGTGCGGGAAGAGCAATTTTGGAATAGCTTACGAGGTTGTTTAACGACATTTTTAAGATGGAAAGAATTCCTGAGGAGTGGAGGTGGAGCACAGTGATCCCTCTATACAAAAACAAAGGTGATATTCAAAATTGCAACAACTCTAGGGGTATTAAGCTGTTAAGCCATACTATGAAAATTTGGGAGAGGGTGGTGGAGTTGAGGGTAAGGAGGTGTGTGTCTATTTCTGAGAACCATTTTAGATTAATGCTGGGGCATTCGAAGACATAATCCATTCATCTTGTTCGGATATTGGTGGAACAGTATAGGGAGAGGAAGAAAAGCTTACATATGGTGTTCATCGATCTGGAAAGCATACGACAAAGTCCCTTGGGAAGTTCTGTCGAGATGCTTGGAGGCTAGAGGTGTACCGGTTGCATACACTACTATGATTAAGTACATGTACGATGGAGCCAAGACCCATGTTAGAACGGTGGGAGAGGACTCGAGACGCTTTCTTGTAGAGGTGGAGTTGCATCAGGGATCAACGCTTAGCTCGTTGCTATTTGCTTTTGTGATGGGTGAGTTGACGCGACACACTCAAGGGGAGGTACCTTGGTACATGTTATTTGTAGATGACATAGTTCTGATTGACGAGAAACGAGGTGGTGTTAACACTAGGCTGGAGGTCTGGAAGCAGACCCTGGAGTCTAAAGGTTTCAAGTTGAGCAGGTTTACGACAAAAATACCCGAAGTGAAAGTTTTGTGACATGACTTGGGAGGATGACATTAAAGTGAGTTTGGACACACAAGTCATACCCAAGAGAGATTGACGAGGGTGTCACACATCGTATTGCAGCAGGATGGACGAAGTGGAGGCTCTCATCCGGGATCTTATGCGACAAAAATGTGCCTTAAAGACTCAAAGGTAAGTTTTACAGAGTAGTGGTTAGACCGATCATGTTGTTTGGGGCAGAGGGCTGGCCAGTCAAGACCTCTCATGTTCTGAAGTTAAAAGTTCTGGAAATAAGGATATTAAGATGGATGTGTGGCCATACTAGGATGTATAGGATTAGGAATGAAGATATGCGAGATAAGGAGGGAATGGCCTATGTAGTGGACAAGATGCGGGAAGCGAGGATGAGAGAGTTCAAACACATGAAGAGGAGAGGCACAGATGCCCTAGTGAGGAGGTGTGAGAGGTTGGCTATGGCGGGTCCAAGGAGAGGTAGAGGTAGACAGAAGAAATATTGGGAGAGATGATGTAATGACTTGGTCGATTGTTTTGAGTATTGTAGGCTTGTTCCCCTATTTACTACTTCATCTATGTTCAATTGTGGTTATGTAACTTGCCGGGGTGGTTTTTTTGGTTTCGGGGATGTTTCGTAGTGAATTGGGACACTTAGTCCCAAGGTTGGAAACTTAAGTTGGATGAGTTGATCAGAGTTTGACTTTTGTGTAGACGACTATATAAAAGAGTTTTAATGTTTTTGATAGCTCCATATGGTGATTTTGGACTTAGGCGTACGTCCGAAATTGGATTTGGAGGTCCGTAGGATTGTTTGAGGTTTTTTGGCGAAAGTTGGAAAGTTGAAGGTTTAGAAGGTTGAGAGGTTTGATCAAGAGTTCACTTTGTTGATATCGGGTTCGAATTTTTGTCCTGGGAGTTGGAATAGGTCAGTTGTTTCTTTCGGGACTAGTGTACAAAATTTGAGGTCATTCGGAGTTGGTTTAACAAGGTTTTGCATAAGTTTTAGAAGTTGAAAGTTCATTAGTTTCATTAGGCTTGAATTGGGGGGCGGTTCGTGGTACTGGTGTTGTTTGATGTGATTTGAGATTTCGATTTCATATTGTATTTTCAGAATGGTTAGTGCGATTGGTCGGGGACCCGGGGCCCTCGGGTGTGCTCCGAGGGGTTTCAGACCATTTTCTTTATTGTTGGATTTGTTGATTCTGTGTTTCTGGTTTCCTCTTTTGCGATTGAGAAGAAAGGGTCGCGATCGCGTAGAGTTATTGCTGGCAGGTGGGTCTTTCTTCATTGCATTTGCAAAGAAAATGACGCATTAACGAAGCCTTGGGTGTTTGTTCAAAGCAAACGCGAGTGAGGATATGCGTTCGCATAGAAGGAAGGGAAGATTTGCACACGGTTGTTCATCGCGATCGCGTGGTCAGGTCTGCGATCGCATAACTGTGTATGTTTGGTCATCGCATTCGTGACTATGGTGTCACATTCACTAAGGAGGATATGGGCAACTAGAGATTTGGTTCTTCGCAATCGCGAAGGGTAATGCCCGGGCAGACTATATAGTACTCTATTTCGAGGACTTTGTTCATTTTAACACATTTTGAGTTATGGAGCTCGGATTTGGGTGATTTTGGAGGGAATTTTCACGATTTGGATTTGGGTAAGTGTTTTTGACTCGGATATGTCAGTTATTCATAATTCCATCTTTGTTTTATCATTTAATTGGTGATTTGAATTGGAGAAAATGGGGATTTTAGTAAAAACTTTCTTAAAAGTATAAAATGGGGATTTGAAGGTTGATTTGAGGTCAGAATTGGATGATTTTGATATGGTTGTGCTCGTAATCGAATGAGTGTTCGGAATTTGTGAATTTTATCGGGTTCCGAGGTGCGTGCCCGAGGTTGACATTTTGATTTTGGTTAAAGATCTTAGCTTTATCATTTGGATTCAATTTCTATGGCTTTTATTGATTACATTAAGTTGATTTGGATAGATTCGGGTCGTTCGGAGGTTGATACATGTGGGAAGGGCTTGTTAGAGGTGTAATTTGGCTTTCTTGAGGTAAGAATCTTGCCTAAACTTTGTTGAGGCTTAGTTGCCTGAATTATTTGTGATAGTTACGTGCTATGGATGCGCATATGTGTGGGGTTTGAGCCCATAAGCAAGCATCGGTGTATTTATCCATGTTCGACATAGTGCTTAGGCTATGATATGCCTAGAACTGACTATTAAGCTTTAAGCTATGATGTTTCTCATATTTGTAACATTGTTGTGAACTATTTGAGTCATGTTTGAGGTTACACATAGGCTAATTCCTTGAATGAACTTGATGATTGTTATTTCTGTGATGAAATTTCTGATTTGAGCTATGATAGCACACTTTGCACATGCCTACACTTTAGCATGTCATTTATAGTTCCAGGAGCATAAGATCTGTTATTCATTCATCATATAAATGAATTCTTGTATATTTGCTTCTGTGTGATATGATTTGGACTGGATGCCTATGAACACGCCTGGCAGATTGTGTTGTTATGCATGTGACCACGTCGAGAGGATTGTGGTGTAATGCTTGTGACTATGCCAGGCGAATTATGTTGTTATTCCTATGACTGCACTAGGCGGATTGTATTGTTATGCATGTGACCACACCGAGCAGATTATGATATTGATCATGTGACAACGCCGGGTTGGTAGCACGTTGAATTGTCCATGCATGCGTGTGGATATGGATCCATCCCCCTAAGGTCACCCTCTCATGTTCCTCACTTGATGGCATACACACGAATTTGAAGAAAACTAATCAGTGGTTTGGTACAAATTTGGAATTATTGAGGAAAGTCTGGGCAGTGTTTGTTTTGTATTTTGCATTTCATCTTTACTTGCAATTTCCATGGCTAATTACCTGATTTATTGTCACGACCAAAATTGGAGGTCCACGATAGGCTCCTGATACCTTACTCAATCGAGTACCGACGTAGTGTATCTTTCTTATCACACCATCATGGGTAAATGGCCAGAAGGGCCATCATGAGATAATCAGAATAAAACATAAAGGAATGCTAGGCATAGGGTGACTGAACATGATATAGAAACTTATACATGTGACATACGGGCCTATAATGCCGACATGATCATTTGTATACTCAAAACATAGGCCGACAAGGCCATACAAGTATCCATATACATGACATCTGTCTACAAGCCTCTAAGAGTACATAAACATCAAAAGAACGGGACAACGCCCCGCCATGCCAATCAATACTTGTCCAAATCATGGTGACCAAATAGGCAACTCCGGAGCAAGTGGAGTGCACCAACACCTTTCGTTGAGCTGATAGCCTACTAGGAGGACTGTCAACCTGTCTATCGGGGCCTACGGTCATGAAGCGCAGCGTCTCCAGGCAAAAGGGATGTCAGTACGAATAAAGTACCGAGTATGCAAGGTAGCAAAGCATAAATAAGAATAACAATATAAAGAGAGATATAGGAGGTACAACCTGTAGCATGTGAGTGCCTCTGAAGGCTACTGACATGAAATGTATGATAAATATATATACATAAACTTTAAAAACATACACCTCTATGGGCATCATCATCATCATATCGTACCCGGCCTTGAAGAGGACTCGGTAAAAACATACCCGGCCATCATAAGGCTCGATAGAATCATACTCGGCCACGTGGAGCTCGGTAAAACTCGACTAATCAGTGGTTGAACAATAGGTGTTGTAAGGCCCCGAAAAAATTTCGCTAAGTAATCTAGGATTTCATGATGCCACGTAGGCTAATTTTAATATTTTATGTGCTATTAACATGGTAGGCATCAATTAGAGTTGTTAAACAAGTGTACGAGTCATATATTAAGTAAGGTGGGGTCCAAGGAGAGGCCTAAGTGTAAGCCAAATGGGAAAAATTTCATACTAGGCTAAGATTCCAAAGGTACTTGCACTAGTCCATACTTTGAACGAGCATATCTAAATATGCATAAGATTTTATGTGATGAATAACCTATCAAATGAAAGGTCTTTAAGTCTAGTTTCAAACGCTTCAAACCGTTCGTCATTTGGACATTCCTACACAAAGTTATGATCAAATTACCAAAGGTTGGATTTGCGACCAATTTGCGATCGCAAAACGACCATGCGGACCGCATATGCGTCGCATAGTGAAGCAGTGTCGGGCAAAACATATGCTGTTGCATGTTGATTATGCTGTAGCATAATCAATTATGCTGTCGATTATGCTATCGCATTTCGATTATGCTGCAAGAATGCTGCCCACATTTCGATTATGCAATAGCATAATTGCACCACATTTTTGACTTCGGGGGTCATTTTTGGAAATTTTTATATCCGAACCCACTTTGATAGATAAGCTTTGGGGCTTCATTTGGGACTATTTTTACACTAAATCTAGAGAGAGGTGAGAGCATTTTAGAGAGAGAAAGAGGAACCTAGCCTCCTAATCATCAATCTTGCACAAACCCTCAAGAATCAAGCATGTCAATCTCTAGCTCACTATCTTCCGAGTATGTCCTACTTCTAATATTTCATATATGAGATTATGAGTTCAAAAATATATTGTGGGGTTAGAAATAGGCCATGCATGTGACTCTAAGCTATAGTATGTGGGATTAATGAACTATTTTGGATAGTTCTTGATGAAATTGGATAAGGGAAGGAGGAATTTCCATTGTAGAACCTTGTAGTCTACTTCACTTGTTAGGTGTTTGATGAAATTCCTAAGAGGGTTACACAATGGGTAATCTTTCTAATTATTAATCGATTTCCGCTATTTCCTTATAGATTGTTATTGCTAGAGGTGTTGGTGTATTCTAAAAATTTAAGGGAAAGCTCTTTGAGGTATGTATGGCTAAAACCCTGTCTTTTAGAAATTGAGCTTCATCGGTGTTTGTGTGAATATGGTAAGATTGAAGTTGAATTCTTGTATATTCCACATGAATTGGTGTTGCAACCTTATATGCGTGAAAGATGTGTCTCAATATGATCAATATGCTATTC